AGATAGGGAGGGCTTTTTTGAGGAGGAACACAACTTAAAAGCATATGTTGTCAATAATTGAACATTGAAACATATTTTCAAATTGTAAAACCTGTTTGACCACATAAACTCAAATTTGTTATTTGTCCCTTGTGTTGTAGGTGGTGGCATCTTTGTTGGACAATTGCGAGTGTGGTTAGCGTGTGAGAGATTACTCCCTTTTAGTAAATGAAAGCGAAAGTCAATTATTGAAGATAAGGTTGTACGGTCAATGAAGAAAGAATTTTTAGTGGCTTGGAACATATTAAATTCATTAATTCCATCTAACAATTGATTATTTAGTTAGTTAATCAACAAAACATAGGATTTAAGTACAACTTGCTTAAATTAATATACAAGTTTTGAATCTAATGAGGTATTTGAAACAACTTATGATTTTCTACAAAAGCACTTATCAACTTATTATAAGTCAGAGGCTTTAACTTCTTAAAAAACTCCTTATTACCGGTTTTGGCACCGGTATAAGTTGTTTATCAAAACATTCAAAAGTTCTTATTACCGGTGTCACACTGGAATAAGTCAATAAGTTGTTTTTATAAGCAATTCCAAATACCTCCTAAGTTTTATATATTAATTTATCATTACATCAAAAATATAAAAAAAAAAAATAGAGAATAAAATTTCTCATACGGGTTCTCAATCTTTTAAAAGAAAACCATTGATTACGCACTTGTGTTTGATTGGGTTGTTAAAACTCGTATGAGCTAACCACAAGGGTGGTGCTTGATTGTTTTGAGCTTGGCTCCAAAGGTCAAATGTATCAGGAGGTCACAGGTTCAAATCCAAGAAGGAATAAAAATCCCCTTGTGGCCACGGAAGTTCAAATACGGTGACTTCGGGCTATCTACAAAGCAGGTAGTCGTCTTGGGATTAGTCGGCTCGCATAGCAGGTTGGATATCCATGTTAATCAAAAAAAAAACTCGTATGAGCTTAAAACAAAAGTTTTGAATTCGAATATTTTGTTTAATTCAGAACTTTATTTTTTGTATTAAGAGATATACTTAAGAAAGTGTCATTGAAAACCAAAAAATAAAAACAATTATGGAGAATTTCATACGGAGCAGTGTTTGAAGAAAATGTATCTGTAGCCTCAGCCTGTAGGTGTTTCGCTACAGTGTGTGAAATTTAGATGCTAATGTGTGTTTAATTGAGTTCGTTTAAATGATTAAAACTTATTTAAAATTTCTAAAATCAAGTTTCTCATTGTCCAATAAATCATAAAAACACATAATAAGATATGATAAATATTTTTAAAGAAAATCTTTTTGTTTATTATCGATTCAAATGTGTTTTGCTAGTGCCAACAAAAGGAACTATAATCCATATTCTCAAGCCATCATAACATGTGGGGGGTTTTTTGGTTATGGTTATGGTTATGGTTTTGATTACGTGTCGGTGATGGTGATGGCTAATTACACATTAATTTCAATTGGTAGTCACCTTGATTGGGACATGGTTTTTTTTTTTGTTGGATTTGTGACAAACCCTACCCCTACCCCTACCCCTACTCCTACCCTAATTAAGTTTAGGGGGGGTTGTATGTAGTGGTCAAATTTGATACTATGGTAGTTGGTAATTTTTTATCAACATTTTTTGTGAAAATCTTTGGCTAGGGCTTCTTTGATTATTCCAATTTCTTAATCATCCCCTCCTTATGTTTATATATATATATAGAGAGAGAGTGTTGGGTTCACGTGAGACCAAGTTGTTTTCATGAGATCTGTGAGACCATATTTTTACACTTGAAACTTCACAGCAAAAACACTTTGAAGGTTTAAAAAAGTCGAACATTCACAGCAAAAACACTGTGAAGGTTACCTTCACAGCATTTTGCTGTGAAGTTTCAAGTGTAAAAAGTTTGTCTCATGGGTCTCACAAAAACTGGTTGGTATTACGTGATCCCAAGTATGTATATATATATATATATATATTATATTTTGAAGAAACCCTCCATACATACACACACATATATATATATATATATATATATATATATATATATATATNACACACACATATATATATATATATATATATATATATATATATATATATATTATAATCCATTTGTGTTGTTTATCTTGGATTCTTTTTCCTAGAAGTATTATTTATTTGATATGAATATTATCCGTAAAATCACATTATTTTTAGAATTTAATGACTATTTTTTATTACATGCAAAATCTTGACTTTGTTTCATATATATTATTGATATAGGTTTACAAGAAATTAAAATCCATCATGCTCGATAATTGACCACTAAAGTGTTGGTATTGCATTGAAGTCGAGTAATAAAATATCTAACGTTTGTGGATTATTTAATTAAGAATGAATTGTAAATTTGATCCCTCTGTTTTGATATTATCTTTTATTAGGGTTTGTATGGTATGTTTATTGTGATTTTGGTCTTAGTGGTATTCAATTTGTCTTGGTCTTGGTTTCTTTGATTAACGTCTCTGTTAAGTTCGTTAAATCAAGGACCATTTTAGCATTTTTACACACACACACACACACATATATATATATATATATACACTATCAAAATAAATAAAATAAGATATTATTGTATGATTTGATTTGTTTAAAAAAAAATTAAAAATTAATTATATTAAATAGGATTTAATTTCATTGTTTTATTACAATGGTGGAAAAAGATATGGTTTTATTGTTTTAATGTAATAAAATTTTTTATTTAAACAAATCAAATCATAAAACTATATCTTATTTTATTTAGAGCGAATAACATAAGATATGATTTTATAATTTAATTTGTTTAAATTAAACAATTAATTATATTAAAAACGATCTAATTTTATTGTTCTTTTTTTCTATCATTGCAATATTGATAACTCTCAATTTTGAGAGTTATTTGTTGTTCAATACTCCTATTTTTATGTGTTTTATGTACCTATTTTGCCTCTATCTTGTATTTTTGGTGTAAAATGTTTTTAAGGGATGATGAAAGATAAAGAATTTGATTTTATTCTGAAAAACCGTCATTGCTGAACAATGCCCACAGCCTGCCCACTTTCTGCCCGTTGTGATAATTTCTTCAAGGAAGATGTGGATAAGATTAAATCTTTTTTTTTCTGGGTATTTAAAAGAATTAAATCCGCAGTCCATTCTGGAAATTTCACAAAATCTAAAGGGATGGGTCATTTTGTTTAAAAATTGACTTAAAGTGTTTTTTCCCTTAAATCAAGGGAAAGATTGTCTCTACATTTTTCATCCTTTCAAAAAAGGTGACAATGCCAGAAGATCTTGCAAGAAGTGAAATGAAGTCATTGCCCAAAAGTTGGAAGGATGCTTTCTTCGTTTGGATAAAAGGGATGTCCATCTCTCCTTTTTCTCCTATAAGTTGAAGCATTTACTCTCATTTGGAAGACACATCTCTTGGAGCATTTACTCTCAACTGAAGATCTGGAGTAGTAGTTCGAGTTTAATTTCATGTATTTACTTCTTGTCTCGTATTTAATTTTAAGCTATGTTTTTGTCCACTGTATGCCCCCTGAGGGAAACAGTTTTACTAAATTTCAATTCAAGTATTTCTTATGCATTTCTCTTCTTCTTCTATGTTCTATAATTTTATTATGAGCTAATCACCCCTTTTGGGTGTGGGTGTGAGTCAAACTTAAGGCTAGTAGGCACACTTGGGTGTTGCCATTAGTATTAATCTTAAGCTTGGCCAGTTAAAATCGGGACTTAAACTCAACGCAAATAAGTCGATCACTTTAAAGTGTTAATATTAGATCTTTGATCTAGAGATGGACGAATTCGAAATACGACTTAAGTAATGCACAAAGATTTGAGAGAGTCTTTGATAATCACGTAAAGATATGGATTTTGCATGTTTTTAGCTAAGGTTCAAATATTGGTCAAGATTTACAGTACAAAGAGATTTGAGTATAAATCTTCAGGCTAGTGGAACTAAATATATTTTTATCACTTAGCTAATTCGGCAAACTAAAATTGATGACAGTGGGAACTTTGGGAGCACTCCGTGAGCACAATATATGAAAATTCACTTTTGAGAGATTGAAGTTTTTATAGAAGTCCATGAGTTTCTCACTATCTTGTTCCTACAATCTTCTTAAGGAAAACTTACACCCATACCCATCTCTTAATTTGAAAAGGTTTATTTCAAAGCTTTTTACCAACAAAATCAAACTTTTGTTCACAAAACAAAACATGCTCAAGAAGTTCATGAAACTCTTTGGATACTCAGTAGTCTAATCCTTGTGGAAACGATTTTGGTACTATACCACTTTATTACTTGAAGCGATCATAGTGTCAGCATGCACTTGCACCGCCACTATGGGGACTTTGTTCCCACTGTCTGAACACTTACGATTCCAAGCTGTCAAGTTTTTGGCCCCGATGTCGGGGATTGGCACGATTTTTATCCTGAGATATTGATTTTCATTAGAGCCTTGGTCATTTGTTTCAATTGCATTTTCCGTGTTGTATGCTACGGATACAACACGGTGAACTTTTACCTCTTGATCTTTAGTTAGAAAAAACCATTAGGAGATGTAGAAGAGGTAGAAATAATCGACAAAATCCCACTTTAAACCATACCATGGCGGATAATCTACATCCTCGGGAAGCCACGTTAAAATTGTCGATAACAAAAATAGAGGCATACGGGACTACGCAACTCCCGAATTCGGTCAATTGGCTGTGGAAATAGGTAGACCTGAAATGACAGCAACATCTTTTGAACCAAAACCGGTAATGTTTCAAATGATATCCTCAATGTGTTAGTTTGGGGGATTATCATCGGAAGATACGCACTCTCATTTAAAATCTTTTATAGAAATGACAAATCATTTTAAAATTCCAAGAGTCACACAAGAAGCCTTACGTTTGACACTTTTTCTTTACACATTAAAGGATAAAGCTAGAGCATGGCTAAATTCTCAACCACCAAACTCGATCCTCACTTGGAATGATTTGGCAGAAAATTAAAAATGAAATGATGACGTTTCATCAAGAAGACGATGAAGTGGTATCAGACGCATGGGAGAGATTCAAGGACCTTCTACGGAAATGTCTTCACCACGGAATCCCTCATTGTATTCATTTGAAAACATTTTATAATGGACTTTCTAGTGCCGCAAAAAATTATTCTTGACGCAACGGCCAGTAGCGCTTTCACTGCTAAAACCTATAACGAAGGGTATGACTTTTTGGAACTAATTTCTAATAATAATACTAAATGGTCCAACTCTCATGCTATTGTTTCTAAATCTGCATCAGGCATTCATGAACTTGATGCTATATGTTTTTTAAATGCTCATATTGTAGATTTAACTAATTTGGTTAAAAACAATTTAAACTTAAATGGGGAAAAGAATCAAGTTCAATCCATCATGTCCAATCGATCTATGACCGAATCTTGTGTCTTTTGCGGTAAGGGTCATTCTAATGAATTTTGCCTCGAAAATCCCGTCTCGGTAAATAATGTTGGGAATCATGATAGAAATAGCCCATTTTATCCACATATCATCCAAATTGGAGAAATCACCCAAAATTCTCATGGGCAGGAAATCATAGACTTCAACCCTTGGGGCAATCCAAGTCCAAAATTTACCTCCAAATCCCCTAGGATTCCATCAAGGTGGGTTATCACATGTACCAAAGTAGGTAATCCTCACAATCACATGCACCTAGACAACAAAGTCCATTGAAAAGTAATGGTTCAATCGAATCTTTACTCAAAGGTTTTATAAACTAAACCAATGCCACTTTGAGAAGTTTTGAGACCCAACTCGGCCAATTTGCCGCTGATCTCAAGAGTAGACTTCAAGGAACTTTGCCTAGTGACACGAAAACACCTAAGGAACATGTCAAGGCTGTAACTATAAGAAGTGATGAAAACTTGGGATAATCTAGTAACACATAGGAAGCATCTAACTCACCAATCTGTCAAGAAAATAATTCATATTCTTATGAGAAATCGAAATTTCTGATTATGTTTCTCCAACTGAGGTAACACATAATCCGGTTTCTGTCCAGAAAACAGCATCTTTGCTCCAATTCCAACACTGCCCAGGCTCCAGCTCAGACTACCCATAGTGGGCAGAAAGTGCACACTCCATAACAGACTAAGACTAGTCCAATAGACTTAGATCTAAGAAGTTTACCTTTTCCAGGTAGAATGAAAACCAAAAACATGGATGTACAATTTAAGAAGTTCTTGGACATCTTTAAGCAACTCTACATTAACATACCTTTGGTAGAAGCTCTCGAGCAAATTCTTAGTTATGTTAAATTTTTGAAGGACATTCTTAGCACAAAAAAAAGAAGACTAAGTGAATTTGCAACTGTATCTTTGACAAAGGAATGTAATGTGCTCCTTACTTGCAAAATCCCTCCCAAGTTAAAAGACCCGGGAAGTTTCACCATCCCATGCTCAAATTAATGACTTGTTTATTTGATGTCAAATTAATGAACCTCCTGGTTCATATTTGGGAAGTTGATAAAAAGTTGTTTGAGGTTAATGATGGATTTGGTATAAGGACTTTAAGGTTCTTATATGAGTTTCTGTTTTGAAACGGTTTGGTTACCAGTGTTGGCAAAGAAAAAAAAAGGAGGATTTGGGTCATGATTATATCATGATGTGTTGTAATAACGGTGGCACAACAAGGAGATGTGTACATTGGTAATAAGGATGGCACAATCAGGAGATGCATACATTTGAAACAAGGATGGCACAATCAGGATATGCGTACATTGGTGATAAGGGTCGCATAATCTATTTTTATGGAAGTGATGATCTTTTGATCATAGGTTTATCCCACATTCTTGTGACGTGTTAATCTTATGTTATCATATAAGTGTGATATGAGAACTTAGGTTATCACATCCTATGAGTGTGATAAAAAGAAGTGTTTGAGGACAGAGGCTCTGGTTGGTCTTTGCATGAAACTAGAGGGCCTCTAGTTGTATGTGGAATTTTGGTCCTTTCAAAATATTCAATTTATCTTGAGCCAGAAACTTGGCATATGCTATGCAAAATCCTTGGATTTGGCATTTGAATTTTATGTTCGAGCTTTGTGTTCTAAACTATTTTCAAAACTTCAATTTCATAATAAACACTTAGAAGTCAGAACATAGTTCAACCAGAGGGGCCTTGTTTATCCAGAGGGCTTCTGGTTGGCTTGACTCTAGGTGGTTTTCCTCTAAGTTATTTGGCAAGTGAACCAGAGGGCCTCTCGTCATATATTAAATTCTTTATAAAGTTTATTTTAAAATATATCATCTCTGGTTATGCGAACCAAAGGCTCTGGCCGTCTAGAGGGCCTCTGGTTGGCTGGGGCATTTTGTGACTTGTTTCTTATCAGGCCAATGCTTTCAAATCGGCTATCTTAAAATGTGTTTGATTTGATTAAAAGTGGTCCAGAGAAGCTCTAATTTGTCTTGAACTTCTGGTTGAGTTGGAAGTTTAGGACCAGAGGTTCTGATTAGTAGGATCAGAGGCTTTGGTCGTCCAGAGAGCTTTTGATTAGGCTTTGCATTATATTTGGAAATTGATTTTGATCAACTTATTGATTAATATGACTGCTCTGGCTGTTAAACCTGAGGAGGGTGGTCCTTATGGGACAGAGGGGTTCTGGATGGTCTTGCATAGTGTGTTGCGAGGAGTTGAGAATCTTGCATTACATATAGTAAGGAAGATATTATAAATCTTTTTTGGAACGACTTATTTGATTTAGGATTTATAGCAAGTTGTTATGTATTTTGCTTGATTACAAATATGATTTTAACCGATTTTGGTGATCTTCACCCTGTAATTGCAAAGAAAGGGTTATCTCATTCGACCTTCTGGTATAACCCTCATTTTGTGTTTTAAAATATGCATTGCATGATCAGCAGGGTCTCGGGATAGTAAGGGAAAGGGAAAATATAATTATTTTTCTTATATGCTTATTTGTTGTTTTTGAAGATCAATTTGTTCATTGATGTATTTTGAAGATACATGTGATAGTACAAGAACAATAGTTTTGGAATTTTTGAGTTGTAATTTTCTGTAACATAAGTTTTATTGTACTAGTGGGAGCTATTAGGTGTAATCTCTATTTCTTTTATATGAAGTACATGTTATATGCAAAGGTGGAGTATGGGATGTCTCATTATCACAGGTTCACAGTGGCTCAATCATTGGCGCATCGGTGACTTCTACGTAGAGAACACCATTGTCGATGAAGAAGACAATGAAAAAAGTTGTTCATGTTTATTCAAAGTATTTTTTTTACTACTAAACAAATATAAATTAAGTGGTTTTTCGATAAGACGTTGCAAAGTTTGATGCCCCTTTGAAACTCTTTACTTCAATATTTATTTGCATGGTCCGATGCTTCTTATTTTTGTAATTCTAAAAAATATAACGAAAATAATTAATTGGATTTTCCAAGATAAATATGAACCAATGCGTTCCAAAAGAAGGGCGAGAGGGGACCAATCATCCACTTCATGATGCAAACACATGATCCATATCAATTCGTATTCATCTTGAAGTAATACTATGACTCAAATTCAAAGTCACATCTCCATCAATTAATTAATAATAGCCAAAGAAAAACACCATTGTGCATCCTTGAGTGTTGTTTTAAAATTGGTTTTCTTTTATGAAATGTTTCGATGATTTTGGTAGATTTGGAGTTTGCGTTAATATTTTGTATCTTCTAGCTTGTTTGGTGGTTTTAAAGAGTTTTCCTAGAAGGATCTTGCTTGGAGATCTCAAATCCTCATATTTGGGAAGCTAGAGCTTGGGTTTGGAATCTAGGTTTAACTTAATCTAGCAAGGTGAGTTCAAGTTCTTTATGAAACTTTGTACTTGTCAAAAATATCCGTTTTGAAGTATTAATGTATTTTACTTCATATTTATCAAATGTGTGGGTTATTTGGTGAGTTTTGCACATTTGGTATATTTGATTTTATAATCTCGTGAGATACCTATACTTGGGGTTTTTGGACACTTTGGTAATAATCTTTGTCATTTTGATTATTTATTACATAAATGTAGATTGTTTGGCATTAATGCACTCTTGGTGCCTTGAGTTTTATAAACCATTTGAAAATTACACATTATAGCGTTATATAGTATTTTCGAGATATAAATAATATGGTTTCATTTAAAAAAATGTTAATGATGGGTTTTTGAGTTAATCATACTTTTAGAGCATGTATTCGTATAAACGTTGGTTAAATACGTTTTACCGCTTATGATGACTTTTATTGAATAGTCATTTGAGTTGTTGATATTTTGGCTTGGTTTTTAATCAGATGAGTCTTGGGGACTTTTATCCGGTTTATTTTGGCATACGTCAAACATTTGGAGTTATATGCAATTATGACATATTTATTTGAAATGTTACATGCTTTAAATGTGTTGTCATTCATTTTGTGTCATGTAAATTTAGATTGTAATGTAATTGATCCATAGGCATAGGAGTCGGTCTTTATTGGTTTAACATGGGATGGTTGTTCCCGTGTTGTGGCCAGGAACACGCATTAAGTCATCTGGGGCATTATGGTGCAGGTTCTTGAAGTCAAACATCTGTCATTAGCCATATGGTGCAATTTTTGAGTCGTTTTAATGGGATGTCTATTCCCATATTGTACCTAGAAATAGGCATTAGGTCATTAGGAGCATTATGGTACGGGCTCTTGAAGTCGAACATCTTTCATTGGCCATATGGTGTAATTTCTAGCAAACGAGCATATCTCAGATCATCGAGGGTCCCAGTGCAAGGTATAGATTGTGAGTGATTGAACTTGATGACCATTGATTCGTAGTCGGCTCATTAGCAGTGACATGTGGCTTACTTTTATGTTCGTCACATTCGATTGATATGGGTCTCCATAGTCACTGAAAGGTATTACTTATAGATAAAGTATATCCATGTTTTTGGTGTTGTCTTGGGTATGGAGTGTACCTATAATTTATTGTTTTGGAATCTTGGAACTTATTCATGATTTGGGTGTTTTGCATAATATAGTTTTATGTACGTTTTTATTATTTGAACATTTAATCTCATTCACGTTTTATGTGAATACTGAGC